AGCAAACGCTCGCCAACATATGTAGGGCCTTGGTGCGCCTGTATAATGAGATGCAAAAGAGGAGTGACACATGTAAAGTTACATGTAGTTGGTGCTACTACAAGAGCGGTTGAATGCGCTTAATACCCACTTGTGTATTAGGGAAGACAATGTTAGGCTGTTGAAGTGATTCTGTTGCTCAAACTCCCTGGGTCTTTGAAGGATATCTGCGTCTTCTTTCCGTTGAAGCAGTTGTAGAACAGAGCCTACTGGAAGGGTATTATTCGGGTTTGCCCACTCGAGGCAAGTTTGCTCTTGTAATCACTAGGTGTTATGACAGTCACATAGAATTTTGCAGTTTTGTCAAGTCAAGCTATCGTTTGATGTATGCTTATTCGAGTAAAACACTTCAGATGATCAAAATAAAAACAGGTGATGGGAGCAACGGGAAGGTGTTACGATATAAAGGTATCCATAAAAAATTGTGCTTTTGTTTCCGCACTCTCCGAAAAGTGCTTGACCCTGGGACAACCAATCAGAATAAAGATAGCTTCACCGAGGTTATTTTCGAGACTAGAAATAAATCACGCCGGTTCTCAACGATCCAGTAAAACAGTCTTTCTGTACATACATTCCCATATCTCTACACATTACCATTCAGCTGTTACAATAGACAAATTACTAGGCATACACTGTTATGTCCTCTTTCACTACCTGATGAATCGTACAGCCCCTAGTGACTATGTAGTGTGCAACACGATCAGTCACTAATGTTGAGTCCTCAATAGGTTTAATCAACTTGGGGAATCGGGCGATCAATGTCTGGAAATTCACAGAGACATCAGGCATTAAACCCGTGATTCTGTAAACGTCTGTTCGGGCTTTGAGACCCGTGACTTTCATATTCGACGCTGGGTTGATCAACTGCAGTCTACATGAAGCCGAATCCGAGTTTACGGCACGTTTTCACCCGAGTTCATCACGGAAAGTGGTGTTTGTCAGGGTTGCCCTCTCTCCTTTTTTACTCAACCTTGTGACAGATTTGATTATGGAAACAGTCCTGTCCTCGTGCAAGGATAATGGCATCGATTTACTCCCAGACTGTTTGATCTAGAGTATGCAGACGACATTGTGCTAACNCAAGCTCTTTTGGACAGCTTGAATGCCTGTGTAGCCATGTTCAGTATGCCTTTTGCACCTTCAAAGTGTGAAATGCTACCTCAAGACTGGGTTGGTCCTGCACTCAGCTTCACCCTAACTGGGGAATCAATAGAGCGAGTGGATAAGTTTTGTTATCTGGGTAGCTACAGTTCACCAGGTGGACGCATCA